TTTTACTGAAAATTCCAGGGTTTGTCCGCAAGATTCTATCGATTGTTCTGTAATTTGTTTTAACTCTTAAAATACTTCCAAGTCTCAGAGCCTTGACAATTATAACTGCACGACTATTAAATAAATATGATATTTTTTTCAAATCCGTGATCTTGGAAATTTTTTAAACTCTCACATTTTAACTATTTTTTCTCAAAATCTTGCATCACAAAAATTGTTAATTCAGGCAGCAATTTATGTGCGTGTGGCAGTGGTTATCACGATATCGAGCATGTTGTTTGGTCATGTACCTTTCACCGTGTTGCCAGATCTGAGTTATTCACATCCCTCAGGGCCCGAGGAAAACAACTCGCGACACCCGTTAAAGATGTCTTGGCGAGCCGAGATCTCAACTATTTGAATTTAATTTATGTGTTTTTAAAACGGATAGATATGAGGATTTAGTAGTTAGTGTCATCTTGTGTTCTCCCAAGTTGTTAGCTGCCCATCGGTGTACCCCCATGTTTGTCGTTTTCATAGAGTGTCGCTTAGTTCGAGATCAAGAGCACATTGCTCTCCAAACCTTGTGTTCACAATCCCTACCCTGCCATCCAATTGTTACAATTTGTTACCCCTAACCTCGAGATAGCCGCAAGTAATCGGCCCCCGCTTTACTAACGTTAGTTTTAAGTAATTTTGTAATCTAAACAATGAATATCGGCTCCGCAAAGCTACAGCAAATGAGCCTGAAAAAATAAACGCATTAAAAAAGAATTAATCCCAAATTTTGAAGAAAAGTTAAATTTTCAGACCCTACACAAATTTCAAAGCCCCAGAATCTTGGAAATCTATCTTTTTAGTAAATAATCTATTAGTGAATACATATCTTTATCCCATATCACTATCAATTTGCTCTAATTCTCATTTGTACCCAGTTCATTTTTCTGAAACATTTTTTTAATTAAATCTCTTACTCTTCACAATTCACCTATTCATCCAGATAGCATTTGGCCCAGTGATCTTAATCTCTGTCACTCAATAAATTCTAGGGCTTGAATCATAAGATATATCGATCATAAAAAGTGGTAGAATTCGATTAACCAAAGCATCTCGAAAGATCAATAAATTGTTTTGAAAACATTAAGTGACTCATAGAGTTGAATTTTTCCTATAGCTTAAGAAAACACTTTCTGTAATTTGGCTTTCATTATTCCCACAAATAACCACTGAAAATTTACAGTTGGCCAAGTTTTTAAAAATGCGTACAATTTCGTTTTTTGTTGAACATCAACAACCGGGTAATTTTTAAGATTTGAACCGGGAAAAAATCGGGAATTTCAAAATGAAAAGTCACTGGCCACCCTGCTTCAGAGATGCACCAAAAACTTCTGAAAAGTCTAGACTTTTAAAAATCTTGAAGAATTATTCATTATGTTTGGGTTTCGATCCAGGTGTTGGGCCCTTCATCAGGGTTAGTTTTAGTAGATCGTAAGACTTTTGCGCTGAACGGAAGATGGTACAACACTATATCTCATGAAGAGTGTCAACTCCAAAGAGTGAAACGTCGAATATATAACATCGTATACAACTCCGGTATGAAGGACCAAAAATGGTGGGACGGCCCCGTAAGCAGATACATGTACGCGACACCCGCAGGAGTGATAGAGAATCTCCTTCCAGAAGTAAGTTCATCAGGGCAAGTGAACCAGGAAAACCGGGAAAAAGTCGGGAATTTATTTTCACCAGGAAAAACCGGGAAAAACCAGGAATTTCATAAGTCGACCAGAAAAATAATCTTGTTTGTATAATTTAAATAGGTTTTAAATTTTATGTATGTCAAAGTTTCTTGTTATAATCAGGTCAAAACTAACCATTTTGTTCAAGCTAAATCTTTCACACAACTAAACATTGATGAACAAAATTTACCCTGAGAATTTAGTAAATATATTTTGTATTTATTTTTAATGTTTTTTTTTCTCTCGAATCAATTGCATGTAGATTTGTACTTAATTGATAGCAGACTTAAGCAGTGCCGACGCGTAACTACTTTGAAGTACCTGTTTAACATGTTCAATAAAAAAGTTCTATTTCTAAAAACTTTCAGATAAGGCCTTCGAACTTCATGCAAGTTCTACAAAATTCGGGAAAGTCTTACAAGTTTCAGGAAAATCCTGTGAACTACTGTGATGACCTACGACGGTCAGGAAATCTCTCCGAACCTTCAGAAAAGTTCTACACATTTCAGATAAGCCTTACGAACTTCAGGGAAGTCCTTTAATCTTTGGGGAATAACTACGAATTTTACAGAATTTTTTACAGATTTAATGTAACTTCTACGACATTTAGGCATTGCTTAAAACTTAAGGATAATCCTATGACACTTATGGATTTTTTCCGAGCTTCAGAGAAGTCTTCAATACTCTTGGGAAGTCCTCTAAACTTAACATAGTTCTCCAAGCTCAAAAAAGTTCCTAGAACTTCCGAGAAGTCGATTTAACTACAGGTAGTCCTACGAAATTCATAGGAGCTCTCCAAACTTCAGGGAATTTCCAAGAAATTAAGGAAAGACCCACAAACTTTTGGAAAACCCTTCGATTTTTAAAGCCTTATGCACTTCAGGGAGGTTTTCTAAATTTAGAGTCCTCATATATTCAGTTAAGTCCTTCAAACTTCAGGGAAGTCCTCAGATCTTCGAGAAAGTTCTTCAAACTTGAAGGAAGTCTTACGAACTTCGTGGTACTTCTACGATATTTAATAAATTCCTATGACTTTCAAAAAACTCCGAACTTCAGGGAAGTCCTAAGATCTTAAAAAAAAGTCCTTCGAACTTCGGGGAAGTCCCATAAAATTCAGACAATACAGCCAATACTACCTTAACGCTTCAGGGAAGTTCTACGAACTTTAGGAAGTTTCTATGACCTTCAGCAGACAGTCTTTGTAAAAATAAGAGTTATTAAACCAGCGTTGTTTATGAAATCTTTTAATCATATGATTTTGAAATCATGTTGTAATCAAAATTCCGCTAAATAAGATCCTTAATCGTTGACAATTTGCGGAAAATTTAAACAAACTGGAAATCCGTAAAATTTGTTAGAATTCATATCATTCATATCACACTTCGAAATTTCAAACAAACAAACGTTGAGATAACTAGTCCATTTTCTAAAAATGGCAATGATAAAGTTAAAAAAAATCGCAGTTTCAAAAACATAAATCTCAAAATTTAGGGGCTTATAGATCTCTAAATTCAGACATTAGATAGGACTTCGCGCTAGTCCGTCGTATCTCAGGTTTTCTTCGTCATACACCCCTAAAATCGCCCATTTTACGGGTTATCGCAAATGTTTCAGTGTAAATCGTAATTAATCTTGTAAGCAAAGGTGATAACACTTTGCTATTATAGTTTTTGCACATAGAACGGAAATAAGCGCCATGATACGACGAAGTAGCGTGGCTCCCTACTAGCTTCTTTACAGCAAACAATCGGATTAAGATTTCACGGGCATTCACAAGAACATTAATACCTATTTTGGTTTGTGAAATTCTGCATTGCGCGAAGAATGATGGTACAAGGATTCACTTTATTTTGTTGTATTAAAAATTGTTTTTTTAAATACATGGTTTTTAAAACCAGGAAATTTTTAAATCATTGACCAGGAAAACCAGGAAAAAAACAAGGAATTTTAAAATGGAAATTCACTTGCCACCCTGGTTCATACAACCAGAAACCAAATCATGCCATCGTGTGGAAGAACGTTCTAATAGATGGGGAGAAGAGCTCGCCCTCTATCCACGAAACGTCAGCAACAGGGAGTTGCCAATTCCGGACTCCTTTAAATAAATAGCGTTTCTCATTTTTATCTATTTATTAAAATCCTTTGGTACCGGTATCGAAATAGCGGTACTCGTAAAAAGGGCCCGGTACTGACAACCCTATTCAGAAGTGATTACGAACATTTCTAGAGCGATACAATGCATTCCGAAGGGTGTTCAATCTTTTCCGAAGTGTACTATCTGTAATATTTGAAATGATTTCAAACTTTTCATAAGCTATTCAGTACTTTCTGAAATGTTTCAGAAGTGATTCCGAACTTTTGTGGAGCGATTAAGTTATTTTGGAAGTTTCTAATTTGATTAAATACTTTCCGAAGTAGATTCAATACGCTTCTGGTGTGGGTCACTGCTTTCCGAACTAATTCCAAACACGTTGAGACATTTCCTTTGAGTGATGCCAAACTTTTCAACGTGATGCAATATTCAAATAAGTATTGCAATATTTTTCTATGCGAGTCCATACTTATGACGGGTAGTGTAGGGTGTATTGACAACCAAAAAAATCATAGGGTATGCCCACCCTAATAAAATTTGTATGGTTATTTTTCTTAACGACGTGTTTGGGGTATCATCCAAACCATTTGTGGAAAAGTTCGACAATTTGGGTTATCGTTCGTTTATGGTATTTTTTATTAGGGCAACTCAGAGGCGTTATAGAATCAGCAATTTTAAGTTTTCAATCCATGCAAGCCGCTTTTCAAGCAAATGTCTGCTGTAATCGTTCGTTTTCTTCAATTTCTAAAAACCACGTGGCGCAATTCCCAGCTTCAATTGCCCCATCTTCGATCAATCCCCCACGATCAAGCTGTTTCCAAATTTCGCTTCCTCCACTTATATGAAAGGCTTCTCTGTGCGTGGTGCCAAACTACCACCGAGCACAATAAAAACCGGTCCTCCCCGGCATCGGCTTCGGCAACCAAAACCAGGAAAGGAATTGGGCTATCTGTCGTCGTCGTCGTCGTCGTTGAATCGGGAGAATCAAAATTCGCAACTCTGAGTACAAGCCGAACAACTTTCCCGCAGCTTCAATTGGGGTTGGTCTTCTCGGGTTGGTCTGTACTTTAACTTTAGTTATGCTGTCGGCTGCCATTCCGCGCGATCTTGCCCGGCAAGTTTTCGTCCGGTTCGCATCCATGAATTGCGTAACGATTTTTAACTCTCGAAATTTGCTTGTATTATCGTTTCAGATTCTCCGTAACGGTGGCAGAGCAGTGATTGATTCCAGATCAAGAAGAGAATCGCGAGTGCAGGAATGATGTTTTGTGCCAAATCATAGGAAATAAGTGATTCTCTCGCTCAACCGAAAAAATATATGCGAAAATAAGAGATAAAGCAAGTGAAGTGCAGTGAAGCTGGTGTGCTTCGAGGTTTGCGTGTTTTTTTTTTTCGGTGGTGGCTGCTGTAATAGCCGGTCAGTGAGGAGAAGACGAAAAAAATAGATAACCACACAAGTGAACGAAGTGAGGCATTCAACAGCTCTACGACCTAGAGATACTGACTGGCGTTGGACGGACTGACGGAGGCGGATGATTCGAGTGGAAAATTGAGGTATGGATTGCTGGTTGTTGGTGGCCAATCGTAGTTGTTATCATATTTAGGGGGGGCTCTCTTAGTCTTAGTAGTTCCCAGCAGGGCTCTTGAAACGAGTGTTTCGTTCAACAGATATAGGTCTGTGTGTTGTAGTAGTAAAAGTAGACTCATCAACTTTGGGTATTTGCTTCGGCAGATAACGAGCAATTTCTGCCAACAGGCTGGAAAATTGCCGTCTGTCTTGCTGTGTCTTCTTTTTAAGGTCAATTGAACCGTGTCAAACTCGATTGTTGGCTGGACGGACGACGGAAATATGTAACCCTTGGTTACATATGTGCATGTGCATGCTTTCGCAGTTTCTGTTCAGGGGTGGTTGTAGGTGGTTGGAAGAAGGGTGGATCTATTTAAGTATTCTTTTCAACTGCTGATAAGATATATTTGGCAATGGCACATTGCATACGATGCATATAAACTTAATCGAAAACGTTGTGTAATTCTACGTCGATCCGATGGCAATTATTGTTTGGGTTACCAAGAGTTGAATGTCCGTGTACATGTAACTTCAGCGCAAGAATACCAGATATGAAGACATTTGAAATTCTTTAAAGACATTTTTATCCTGCAGACATTTAGAAGACATTTCATATTTTGTGAAGATTGTTGAAGATATATTGAAATTGAAGGTTTTTTAATGTTTCAAGCGGTCATGTGTTAAGTGTTGCTATGGAAATGAAGATATAGGGTTAACTACCCCATTTCCGGCCTATTAAGCACAACCCGCACTTAGTTTTTCTCAATCACCAAACGGAATGTTATTATTACTGATGACTTTCAAATTTATTTACCTTTCCGTACGTTCCGTAAGGTTTGATAAAGAGAAACCAATCATTGAGATATTTTCAAAAGTCTAACACTGCTTCTTGACGCCAAACTCGGCCTAAGGATTCTAAACTCAGCCCAACGCATTGAAACGCCAATGAATTCACTTCGGCCTATCGGATGAAGATAAAATATGATTCGTTCGGAGCGCTTCTTTTGTTTTTGGGAATAATGGGTGCAAACATTCATATCACACGTTCTCATTGACTTCGTTCGGTAGCTTATTAACTAAAGTATCGTACCAAACGCTTAATTAACTTGTTAGTTCTGAAATCATGGATTTATTTGAAGTTTTCTGCTCGATAGGCCGAAAATGGGCGATTAAGCCGAAGTAGTTCTCTAACCTATATAAGATATAATTTCCAGTTTTTCGCAATAACTTGTGTTACGGCAGGCAGAATGAAAAATTAAACGTTTCGGACACCGGGTTTTGAGCAGCACATCAACAGATGCAAGCATGAAGATATGCAAGCATCAAGATATGCTTGAAATCTATTTTTTGTTACTTGTTTAGGAACTGCAACAAATTTTAGGGTATTACAATTGCGTGTAAATAGGTTTTAAGTGTACAACTTACTGTTTCTGTATGTGCTTTTAATTAGGCAAAACATCACTATTAGCAACAAATTGAATCGTTTAGGTATTAATAAATTTTAGAATAACAAATGTTCGCTGGAGTAGCCACTAATTCGCATGTTGCTTCGCTATCCTCGTCGGAAGTAGTTTGTCCCCTTCTTTCCTTACTGTCACCTGTCATACGTTCAGCTGACCGTTGACAGCCGTCATCGGAGTTCAGCTGGGGCGACAATGCGGAACGCCAACCTGAAACCCCCCGTAACACTGGCCACCGGTCCCAGTTTTACCCCCTGACTCAACCTCCAATACAGTCAACTTGGATACTGGCCTACGTAATATCCCCCTCGCAGTTTGTACAACAGCTTGCCGAACTCTTCCATCCTTCGCTGTCACGACCTCCTTAACGCGTCCACGAATCCAGCCGTTCCTGTGAGAATCAGGACAATCAGGACCAGGTTTCCTTCAGCTACGGGTTTGACATCGCCGAACCATTTCATCCGCCTCGTCAGCATTGGGAGGTGTTCCCGTACCCACCGTTTCCAAAAAACGTCCAATTGGTGTTGAATCTGGTTCCAGGAGTTTCTTACTGCAGAAGCTGGATCACTAAAGGCTACTGTAGGTTGGCATACGTCTCTTGGTTCGGTGTAATGGCTTTTCCTTCTTCAGCATCCAGTGGCAGGTACGTGAGCGGTCGACTGTTAACGATACCCTCGACTTCAACGACCAGTGTTTCCAATCCTTCGTCGTTCAATTTTCGATCGTTGCTGTACGCAGTCTGCATGGTCGTCTTTATCGATCGCACCATTCTTTCCCACGCACCGCCCATGTGAGATGCTCGTGGTGGTATGAAGATCCATTTGATATCTGTGCTGGTGAAAGTTGCTGCCAGTCCGTCGTGAATTTCGTTAACTTGCTTTAGAAAAAGATTATTGGTGCCGTTATCCGCTGGCGTTCCACGACGGCAAATGAAACGGGCGAATGCACTTCACGCAGGACGGTGTGGAAAGACTGTATGCGACCTCCACATGGACAGCACGGGTGGTCAAGCAGGTGAACAAGCAGATCCAGCGTTTTGCAGTAGTCCTTAATAATAACTGGAAGCTTGGCATCAAACGTAGTATGTGGTGCAGATCCAGTTGTTCCACCGACCCGTAGAACTCCGTATTGATCCACAGTTGGCGTCAACTGGTACAATGCGCTCGTTTTGTGTAGCTCCATTTGTCTTCCCAATATCAAGTTCATCTCCTCAGCATACTCCTCCCACTGCATCATTTGCATCAATGTGTTCTTCGCTTTCTTCAGCTCATCCTGGCTCAGATGCGATGATTGTGTTTCTTCTCCTCGTCTTCTACGCCTGCAATTGTCCATAAAACGGTGCACGTACGCAACTACTTCTAATAGCCGGCTCCACTTCGAAAATCTACAGAAATCCACTATGGTAGCTGGAATTGTTGAACCTTGTATCACAAATCAGGGCTGTAGTTCCTCTTTCGGTTGCACCAGTTCCTTAGTTTGCTTTGGCCATTCGGACCTCTGAACCGCTCGTCAGTGACTTCAGGACACGGGTTCTTTCCCCAGGGTTGAGTTTGCTGGGAACCCATCGCCATTCTGCGATGTCCGTTGTTGATAGTAACTCTCCAATCTGACACGCTACGTATTGTTTGTAGCGGCGGTGCTCAGCTCGCAGCCAAGCCAATATAGTCGCGTAATCACTCCACAGAAATCTCGCTTCACTTCGACGTTGTGACACTCCTGTACAAAAGACATCAAGCGACTTCCCAGAGAGTGGCTTGAGCGGTGCGACCTTCGTCTTGGCAGCAACTATTGTGCATTCGGCTTTACCTTCAGCGTTGACCACTCTACAGTAAGTTACAGCGGAGAATGCAGCTTCGCTTGCATCAACGAAGATGTGAAGTTGAAGTTGATCGTATGTTTGCGTGGTCGCTTTCTTGAAGTAACAGCGAGGGATTCGTAAGTCACCAATCTTACGAAACAGTCCAGTCCACCTGATCCATCGGTCGAATATTGCTTCCGGCACCTTTTCGTCCCACTGCAGTCCAGCTCGCCATACATCCTGAAGAAGTATTTTGCCATGAAGTAGGAACACGCTCCGAAGTCCCAATGGATCGAAGATCCCCATCAGATATTCAGCATCTGTCGTTTAGTCGGCCTCCTGAACTTCATCCTTCATTTTCATCGAAAACCGCAGCTCATCTCCAACCGTGAGCCACAGCATTCCTAATACTCGGTCGCACCCGTCTGTTGGACTCAAGCAGAGGATCTTGTTTCCTCTTCCTTCAGTTCGTTTAGCACTACAGCGCTGTTTGATAGCCAGTTTCTGAGATGGAAACCTCGTTTTGGTTGATGTTGCTCCAAAAATCGCCACGTCCATTAAATAGATTTCCAATTGTTCCGATGGATCACTTCGGAATAGGAATCGTAAAGCATGACGATCTGACTCTTGAATCAACAGCTGATGGAACATTTCTCTAATGTCTGCAGAAACTCTCACCATATACTGCCGGAAACGAAGTAGCACCGCCGGAAGCGACGTAAGCTGGTCTGGACCTTTAAGCACCATCGAATTCAGTGATATGTATTTCATCGACTGTAGCTGCCGCATCCCACAGTAGACGAACTTTACCGGGTTTCCTTGCATTTGTTACTTCACCCAGCGGTAGATACCATACGCGCCTCGGATCAGCTCGTTCTAGTTCCTCTTCCGTCGAGCGTATCCTTTTAGCAAGTACTCCGCAATCTGCTTCTTCAGGTTGGCCGCCAGTGCAGGATCTCGAATCATCTTGCGCTCCAGACATTTGAAACGCTTGGCCGCCATGTTGTAACTATCTGGGAGCTCTACGTCATCGTACTTCCACAATAGACCTGTTTCGAATCTTTCGCCTACTCGTATAGTCGTCTGCTCCATAATTCTCTTTGTATCCTCCATCGTGAAATCTCTCACTGCATTGTGTAGCTGCTGGTCACTCGTACATTTGCAGGCATAGAAATTCAGCGTATGTAGTGCCTCCTTACCATTACCACCGAAGAGGCTCCATCCTAACCTGGTCTTTACCGCGATAGGCTCGCCTTTCTTGCCTTCTTTCACTTGCAGTGGTACCGTGAGGTTTACGTTATTTACGCCGATTATCAGGCGGGGAACAGCCTTCTCGTAGCTGACGATTGGCAGACCCTGAAGATAACGGTAACGTTGCGCAAGATCATCGTAGTTAAGGCTCTGCTCCGGCAAAGTCAGCTCCTTCACAGTATGAATGTCATTGAGGGTGAACTGTTTCTGACTGTTCGCCCCTCTAATCGAAACTCGAACATGTTTCGATTCCGACTCGACTCTGGTAACGTTCCCTGTCCACTTGAGGCATAACGGTTTCGGCCATCCATCGATACCGAGCTGCTCCACCAGGCTACTCTCAATCAGCGAAAGATCTGACCCGTCGTCCAGGAAGACGAACGTTTCGATGGACGCTCGGGGACCTGAGATGATGACAGGAACAATACGAAATAGTAGAGCTTGTTTATATTGTCGATGAGTGTTATTCTGCACCGTT